GCACTTGACACCCTCTCCCTAGTCATGAGAATCCGAAGCTGATATGTGAGGCCATCAACGAACGTCCTGATCCTCTCTCGATCTGTGGGAACCTCATAACTTAGAAAATCACATCTCATACTGTGTCACAGTCATATCTCCCTGATGCAACTGCTCGAACTGCCTGCGCAGCTCCTCTCGATGAGACTGTGGCACATACTTCTCCAGAAAGAGAACAGAGAACTGCTGCCAGGTAAGGGGCGCTGCACCAATAGGCCTACGCCTCTCATAAGCCTTCCACCAAGTAATGACACCTCCAAAAAACTGAAAAGTAGTAAATGCTACACCACTGGTCTCTAGAATACCCGCTGTACGTAGAATCCTCTAACACTTGTCTAAGAAACCCTGGGCATCCTCGTCCTCAGTACCGCTGAAAGTCGGAGGCTGAAGTCTACCAAACCTCTCCAATTGATGCTGCTCGTTGTCAGGCATAACTGGTACCACATAATCCTGAGCTGGTGCAACCGGTTGGGCTGGAGGTGCCCCCGGTGTCTGAAGTCCTTGCACAATGTGTTCAGGTGTGTGAGCAATGGGAGTCTGGGTGCCTCCTCCGGCCTGAGAAGTAGCTACAGCGGTAGTAACTGAGACCGCCTGAGCCAAACCGGTACACACTAATAGAATCTGAGCTAAAGCCTCCTGAAGGCCTGGAATCACAATAGGCACAACTGGTGCCTGAGCTGGTGCTGCTAGAGCATCCGCAACTGGGACCTGATCATGAATTAGGGCAGCTGGTGGATCTGCAGGTGCTGCCTTAGCTGCTATGCGGGCTACACCCCTGCCACTACTAGGGCCTCTACCGCATCCTCGACCTCTAGTGTCCCCCGCTGGTGGTACTGGTGGTCGTCTATCCTGACCGGTAGCACGTGTCCTTACCATCTGTGAGAGAATGGAATAATAGAAGTTTAGTACTAGGATCAACAGATTAGCACGACAAGAATTTCAAGAATATGAAGTTTTTCCTAAAGGTTCTGCAGCCTCCCGAGGATAAGTACAGACGTCTCCGTACCAATCTGCGAGACTCTACTAAACCGGCTCATGACTCGCGAGACCTATGCAACCTAGGCTCTGATACCAACTTGTCACGACCTCAAATCCCCAATCGCGATGGCGCCTATCACAATACTAGGCAAGCTAACCCAACAAGTAACCACAATCAATTTCTTTTACTAAAAACATTTAGTTAAGTCTCAATTTTCATAAGGAATTCATAAATCACTGAAATGTGCGGAAAACATTATACAAAATAGACCTACACAACCCAAACATCTGGTGTCACGAGTCTAGAGCCTCTAAATATACAAATTCGACTGTCTAATACATAACAAGTCTAAAATGCAAAAAAATAAGGATAGGAAGGAAGAAAGCAAGGCTTCAGACGCCATGCAACTACCTTGCAATCTCCGACAAACTCTGACAATATTGAAGACCCTCACTCTGCCGCTTGGGCACTTGGATCTGCACACAAGGTGCAGGGAGTAACGTGAGACGCCAACTCAGTAAGTAACTAAAGTAAATAAGGTCTGAAAGTAGTGACGAGCAGTTGAAAATCATATAGAAGAGTAAACAACAGAATATCAAGTCAAACTCAACAGTTGCAAAACCAGTTTCTTCATAAAGCTTCAGTTTCAATTGAAATACTTTGAAATCATTTACTTAGCAGTTTTCAACAGAGGCTCATTATAAAAGGAGAGTGAAATCAGCAAAACTATCATAAATGGGCCCCTCGGGCAAGGTATCACTCATAAATATAGCCTCTCGGGCAAGCCTCTCAGTCACTCGTGACTCAGCTCTCGTCACTCAGTACTCACACTCAGCACTCAGGCTCAAATACACCTCACAATAGTAATAATCATAATAACCACTGCGGTGTGCAGCCTGATCCATAATTTATAGTCGACTACGCTCACTAGGGGTGTACAGACTCCGGAGGGGCTCCTACAGCCCAGGCGTCATATTGCTGCGGCGCGGAGCTCGATCCAATATATATATCGCTGCAGCGTGTAGCCAGATCCATATCGCTGTGGCGTGCATCCCGATCCATAATATATACATATAATATTGCTACGGCATGCAACCCGATCCATAATATTTATAATCCTCACCATTAGATCCTCAACCTCTCTCAGTCATTAACCTCACAGCCACTCGGCATAACAGTAGAAATCAGGGAACTCAGTCGAAATAGTTCTTACATTTTAAGAAGTAGAGTGATAAAACTAGTTTTAAACAATAAACAGGTAAAACATGACTGAGGATATGCTTTCAAACAAATAGAGTGAGGAAAACAATAAAAATGCCGCTAAGGGTCTCAACATGTCGGCACAAGGCCCCAAACATGGCATACAACCCATAATACACTATAAATTTCTTAAATATGGGATATCATAGATTTCAGATCTAGTACGCGGCTTAATATTCGCTACGGGACGGACCAAGTCACAATCCCTATCGGTGCACGCCCACACACTCGTCACTTAGCATGTGCGTCACCTCATTTATCAAAACAATATGAAATACCAGGTTTTTGTACCCTCAGTTCCAGATTTACAATGGTTACTTACCTCAAACCGGATGAAATACTACTCCTCAACGCCTTTGCCTCTCACCTCGACCTCATCTCGTGCCGAATCTACCCAAAATAAAAATTATAACATTAAAATATGCTAAGGGATCGATGCCCAAGCGAAAATAATCAAATTATACCAAAAATTCCGAAATTGGTCCAACCCGACCCACGGGCCCACGTCTCAAAATTCAATAAAAATCACATCAACGGAATCCTTCTCCTCCCACGAATTCATACATACCAAGATTACCAAAATCCAACCACAAATGGCCCCTCAACTCTCTAGATTAGAATCTCAAGTTTCCAAGCCCTAACTCCCAATTTAGGCTTCAAATCCCCCAAATTTCATGTTTAATTAGGTAGAAATCACAATAGGATCGAGTATTAAGTCCAAAATTCTTACCTCCAATAAGTTCTCTTTGATTCCCTCTTCAATCTCTCTCAAAAAGCTCTAAAACCGAGTCAAAAATGGTGAACTTAGGCCAAAACTCGCGAAAATGGCCTTTTAAACATTTTGCCCAGCGATTAGAAATCCTTCTTCGCGAACGCGGTCAAAGCCTCATGTTCGCGAAGCACTAAAATACCATTGACCAAAATTCTCTTACGCGAATGCGACCACACCATCGCGAACGCGATGCCTCAGCGTCTCAAACCATCGCGAACGCATCAGACATCTCGCGAACGTGATGCTTACTATTCCAACCCTTCGCGAACGCGGGACCTCCCTCGCGAACGCGAAGGCCAAATCTCCAACCTCTCTTCCTGACCCTTCGTGAACACGAAGCATAAATTGTCTGCAACACTACAACAGATTTCTGCAATTTTCTTGAACTTGAAATGGTCCGTTCAACCATCCGAAACTCACCCGAGGCCCTCGAGACCCCAACCAATCCCATAACCTCATTCAAACTTGTTCCAACCTTCAGAATACCTAAAACAATATCAAAACACCAAAATCACATCGGATTCAAGCCTAAGAATTCCAAAAACTTCCAAATTCCGCTTTTGATCAAAAAGTCTATCAAACCACGAATGACCTGAAATTTTGCAGACACATCCCAAATGACACAACGGACCTACTACAACTTCTGGAATTCTATTCCGACCCCTATATCAAAATCTCACATATCAACCGGAAAATGCCAAAATTTCAATTTCGTCAATTCAAGCCTAAATCTACTCTGGACATCCAAAACACATTTCGATCACGCTCCTAAGTACCAAATCACCTCTCGAAGCTATCCGAACCATCGGAACTCACACTCGAGCCCTTTGACACATAAGTCAACATCTGATTGACTTTTTCAACTCAAGCTTACTCAAAAGAGACTAAGTGTCTCAAACCTTACCAAAACCTCTCTAAACCCGAACCAATCAACCCGATGACATATAATACAACTGAACAAAGCAATCAGAAGCAGAAATGGAGAAAACAGAGCGGTAATTTATGAAACAACCGGTCGGGTCATTACAGTTCTATCTTTTGTTGTCAATTTTATTCTTGCATTCTCTAATTGAAGTTGGCATTACATGTTCTAGCTTCTATTGTCAAAGTTATTCTCACATGCATTTTATTCTAGTTGTTGTTGCATGCCATTCTTCCACTATTGAGTTGTTCTCATGCATTAGACTTAGTTGCTATTTTATGTTATCTCTTCATTGTTAAGCTTATATTTTGCACTTGAATTTGCAAATTATCTTTTCGTGGGAAGTACCTAAATTGTGGGTTATTGAAGTTGTTGTTGTGAAGGCTATTAGCACATTAAGGTTAAAGTTGTGACTATTGATATATCTTTTTTTTGTTGAGTTATTTCTCATTTATTTCTTGTTATTGAGACTCTTGCACATATGGTGGTTGAGCCGTGGGCTATGTGTTATGGTAACATTGATATTATTAATTTTGGCAAGTTGTGACATATGGGCACGTGTGATGCGAGTTATTATTGTGTTATGATATTAATGCGCATAATATAAAGATAGGAGTTGATGTGCATGCAATGAGATAAGGTAGGATTTATGCACTGTTGCTGGTTAATTGTGCAATCACAAATTGAATTACACAATCATGAGTTTATATTTCAATGACTTTATTATGTTATATTTTCCTTACTTTCATGTTAAAATGAAAAAGAAAAAAGATTCACGTTATGTATACTTACAATTGCCTATTTCCTATTAACAATTAACAATTGCCTATTTCCTATTTCCTATTAACAATTGCCTAATTAGTTTTTTAGGTAATCCAATTACATAAATAATTTTTTTACATTATTAGTGACTAGAAGTTAAATTGAAAAAGAAAAGGAAAACAAGGAGGATCCTTTAGAAATTACTAGAATCCAACTTTTTCTAAAATTTGTTCTTTTTCTAACCTGAGGTCCTACTATTATTTATACTTTCTGACCAATTTAGTTACAGGGCCTACGTTGTTGAGGCAGTTTCTCGTCAGATGTGTTAAGGTTTCCTTGTAGACAAATACAGGCAATTCGGGTGCGTAAAATTCCTCTTTCTGCCCTCATCTTATTATTATTCATCATCTCGATTCCATGACCTCGTTTTGATTTCATTGCAAACGGCCAAATTGTTTATGAAGATTCTGACTTTGATCAAACCCATGTCATGTCTTGAATAAAGATCAACTTTTGCTGCTGAACATTGTTGATTGGTGAAAAGCTTATATCTTTATATGCATACGATACTGTTGCTGCAAAAGTTTGTATATCTTGTCATCTTTTCTTTCCAATTAGTAACATTTGTGGAAAACTTTGAAGCAATTGGTTTTAGATAAAATATGTCGATAATAGAAAAAAATACTAAAAGTTAAAGGGGAACTAGTTACTCTGCCTATGTGAGATTCACAACGTAAAATAGTCTGAATTTTGAACCTGGATAGAACGGAATGGATACAGAGGCTTCATATAGCTAATTTAGGATTGAAGCATAGTTGATTGAATCAAAGGGTAACTTGAGGAAAGCACCCTCAAGTTCGCTTCTATATATATATATATATGTATGTATGACATCTTGATTCCTTATAATTCAGATAGGGCATACTTGTTAAGGCTTGGCTAAAGATTCTAATAAGAATGCTCCAAATTCAAGTTAACAAATCACCCATCCTATTGACTTGACTGCTTCTCTGCGTTAATTTAGGTTAACCAAACTTGTAAATTGCCTATAAAAGAAACCATATGGATGTTATGTATTTTGCTTTTCCCCCTTAAATTTGGAATTGCATTGAAAGATGGGATTCCATAGCAAAGCTTAGGAATTAAGTATGTTGAGAAAGAAATCAAGGAGTCTTTGTCTTCTTTCTCATCGGAGGTGAGATTTTGAAGACCATTATGAATTCACATTGCAAACCTTATTTTGTTGCATGAAGCAATTGTTTTATAGGAACACACACTCACAAAAGCATAGAAACAAAGTCCACAATCAATTTTCTTTGCAAAACTCCAGTTTTCTTTGAAACGATGAAGTTGAGTTTTGAATGACTGCTTCGGCTTCTAATAGAGCGGCTGAACTAGTAAAGATAGATGAAGATTGTAAGAACTATCCACCACTGGAGGGAGTTCATCATGTGGACCAAACTGAAGAGTGAAATAATTATTGATTCCTTCTTTCTGTATGTAATGTGCTTTGGATAATAAACATTGCTACTTAGTAAAATGGATCTCTCTCCCGAATTTGTCATTATGTTATTTTATATGTTTGTTATTTGCCTTTTGCTTTCTCACTTACATTTGTCCTTAAATAGAGAACTATTTGTATTGCACTAATTACATAAGTTCCCTATTGTTTGGCATTTATCACACCTCATACAATTTGGAACGTTAATCGATCAACTGGAGAACTGTATCTCTCATGTTGTTCTTTGAGGGTGTGTTACTTTACGTTTAGTGTATTACTTAATGGACAGTTGATCCTTACTAATTAATAGGGTGGTACGCAATGGGATCTGCAAATGGTCTTGTGTGTTCAGAGGAGAAGCAGCCACTTCTCTCATTTGGGGTCATATCAGATGTCCAGTATGCTGATATACCTGATGGCCGTTCATTCCTTGGCGTCCCTAGATATTATCGGCACAGTGTTTGCGTATTACAGAAGGCAGTTCAGGAATGGAATCAAGAAAAGCCTAAATTTGTGATTAATTGTGGAGACATAGTCGATGGTTTTTGTCCCAAGGACAAGTCAATGATCACTGTAAAGAAGATCGTTACCGAATTTGATAAGTTCAATGGCCCTGTTTATCACTTGATTGGAAATCACTGCCTTTACAATCTCCCTCGGGAGAAGTTGCTTCCTTTACTGAGAATTCCTGGCCCTGATTATCATGCCTATTTTGAATTTTCTCCAATTCCAGAATACAGATTTGTTATCCTTGATGGTTACGATATCAGTGCCATTGGCTGGGCAAAGGATCATCCAAATACGTTGGAGGCCCTTAAAATTCTTGAGGAGAAAAACCCGAATTCAGACAAAAACAATCCGGATGGACTTGTTGGATGTGAGAGGAGGTTTCTCATGTTCAACGGAGGTGTTGGGAAAGAACAGTTGAAATGGCTGGATAATGTCCTTGAGGAAGCAACAAAGTTGAATCAAAATGTAGTAGTGTGTTGCCATCTGCCTTTAGATCCTGCAGCATCATCTTTTGCAGCATTATTGTGGAATTACGATGAAGTGATGGCTGTGATACATCGCTACAATTGTGTGAAGGTCTGTCTTGCTGGACATGACCATAAAGGTGGACATTCGGTTGACTCCCATGGCGTACATCATCGGATCCTTGAAGCAGCTCTCGAGTGCCCTCCCAGAACTTATGCTTTTGGACGCATTAATGTGTTCGACGATAGATTATCACTTTTAGGCACTGATAGAATGAGGAGCACTGAAATGGTTTTTGGTCACTAAACTATTCTTTTGTCTACCAAAAAAGTACTAACATGATATAAAGTTTATCTACTGATAAGTATACTTGTTCTTCACAAAATGCAGAAGGGACCGGGTTTTTGGTGTAAATTCCTTTGCATATTGCAGCCATTTTCTTGTTGAGGTACATAATAGACAATGAAAAACAAGCATTTCTAGTTATGATACTGCATTTCAGTAAGTACAGAGTTAATTCGGGAAGTCGAAAAAAAGAGAGTTAAATTTGGAAAATTGTTTTTATTTATTTATCTTATAATCTAAAAATAATTGTATCTTGTTTGAATTTGATGGAAAGAAAATCTGCTCTTGAGCTCTCTGTACAGTTGTTGTATCCACTATTGAATCTAGAGTAAATATTATATGATGGAAGGTATCACTATCTTGAGCTTCTTGGAAAATTTGTGTAGTGAGTTGCGCCCTGTTCTAGTTAAAGCATTTAGGCTTTTATGTTGCAATGCTGATGTGCTTCTCCTAATAGCAGCTGCTAATAACTTAAAGGATTTAAGATACATATACTGCAATTTATACTATCAGTGCAATTTAATTTGTCGTGACATGTCGATTGTTTTAGTTTTTAGGTTATTTATTCCATCTATTATGTAAGTTATTCGTATCTTTTAAGTGACCTAATAGTGTAATAATTCTTTTGCCGACTTAAATTACACTGCCGATGTTCTAGTATACATGCTGTTTTTTTTTTTTTTGGGTTTTCTACCCGGTGTTCGGTACCCCGCGTTGGAGCCCGACTATATTCGGATTCGCGCCGCGTATGACCCCAATTGGGGGGAAGCGCTCCCTACCAAGAATTTTTCCATACACAGGGTTCGAATTCGAACTCGAGATCTCTGATTAAGGGAGGAGCAGTCCCATCCACTGCACTACATCATTTGATGGTTACATGCTGGCTTTCAAGTGTGCAAGGTGTAGTTTTGATTTTCTTTTTTTAAAATTTCGTCCTCATTTGTTTGGCAAGTTTACTTATGCGTTTCACTCAACTGAATTGAGTCCATTAACCTAGGGTGGGCATAGTTTGGGTAAACTCGAAATTCAAACCAAAATTCAATTTTTTTTTGGATTTTTGGTTTGGATTTTTTTCTTGGATTTGATTTATAAAATTTTTGGATTTCGGATTGGATATTAGATTTGATACTTCAAGTTTTTGGATATCCGGAAATCCGAAATTCTTATGCTTTATATTTAGTCCATTATCCATATGTCAATAGTAATAAGTTCAATACCCTACCCATTAGATATTATCTCATAATATTCAATATTAGTTATTAAGTTACTATGATAATACTTTCTATTTAGACATGGTTTTACTATTTCTATGTCTTATCGGCCGTATTAATGTCTATAGAAAATATTTTTTTGATAATAATTTTATTACTTGAATGACTCATTTGGATAATTGCAGTGAGAACGAGGAATTTTTCAGGCAATTTAACAAGAGTACTCATTTGAATATTCATTTTTGTAAAAAGAAGAAACTTCTCAACTTATAAGCTCAAAACCGAAGTTCCAAAATATCCAAACCGGCTAATTCGAAACTGAACTTAAAAAATCCGATCCAATCCAAACTTATTTGGATTGGATTTGAATTGTCATTTTTTCAATCCAAAAACCGAAAATCCAAACCGAAAATTTCATATACAATCCGAATTGCCGGAACGCCCACCCCTGAGTTAACCTAAGAAGCGGTAAGATCTTGGTCCAGTATTCCACTTCCTCGTATTGACAAAAACTGGTGTAAAATAGATGAAGAATAGTAAAGATCATCTTATTCTTTATTTCTTGCTTTTCGCCAAGACTTAAGAAGTTGGGGATGATGTATGAATCCTTGATTCGAAGTCTAACTACCTGAGCTAATTTCGTTTCCGAGTTCAGATAGGATAATGTTTAACGCTTGCAAATCTTCTTGGAGAAATTTGACGGCAATTAACCAACCATTAGTAAAGCAAAAAGAACAAGGGAGTACAATTGAAGTTTTAGTTTTCAAATTCTTTGCTTTGTTCATTGTGAAGTCAGGAGCCTACCTGGAGAACAAGGGAATACATTTCAAGTTGAAGTCAGGAGCCCGCCTGGAGAGCAGTGAATACTTTCAAGCGCAGCAGTCAGGAGCTCACCTGGAGAACAAGGGAGTACAATTTAAGTTTTAGCTTTCAAATTCTTTGTTTTGTCTATCTTGAAGTCAGGAGCCCGCCTGAAGAGCAGGGAATGCATTTCAAGTCAGCAGTCAGGAGCCCGCCTAGATAGCATGGGAATACATTCATGTTTTGAAGTCAGGAGCCCGCCTGGATAGCATGAGAATACATATCAAGTTCAGCAGTCAAGCCCCACCTGAAGAAGGGGAAAACATCTCAGTTTACAATTCAAGGTGGCAACAAAGAGATGTCTCCGGGAGAATGGAGGACAACAAGGCTACAAGAAACACAAGATCAAGTTTGAAGATCTAGATGGGACTTTTGTAATCCATAGACCATAGTCTAGTCTAGATTCTTGTTTTATTTTGGCATGGTGTAATAAGGGGGTTCAGTAAGCAGTAGCAACAGCAGCAACAACAGCGCTGGTAGTCCCAGCTACCAAACATTCCCGAACTACACTGACCTGATTCCTTTTTAGCCAAGGATATGTAGGCAACCTCGGAAGCAGGGTGCGGTCAAGTCTTTCAAAAATGCTTCCCACGGAGTATTCAAACGGGCAAAAATCGCTCGTATCCGCTCACTTTAGCTTTGCACGAAAACTCTTCGTGTTTCCGAGCAAAGAGGGGCAGCTGTGAGCACGTGAGTTTTGCCCTATATGAATTACTCCCATAAATCCAAAACAAAACAATTTCTTTCAATGTTTGCAATTTTGGGGATTTTCGTGGCATTTTCGGGTAATTGTTTGTATTTATTTTATTTAATTAATGAAAATTACAAACAAATATGTTGCATTTGCATTTAGGATTTAATTTTACATTTTTAGGATTAATTGACAAATTATTTTATAAAAATAGGAAAAATCACAAAAATAGTTTATTTTGCACTTTTAATTTTAATTTTGAATTTTAGTAGTTTTTTTCCTTTAATTTGGTTTTTAATTATTTGTAGTAACAGTTATTAGGGANAGCTTTCAAATTCTTTGTTTTGTCTATCTTGAAGTCAGGAGCCCGCCTGAAGAGCAGGGAATACTTTCAAGTCAGTAGTCAGGAGCCCGCGTGGAAAGCAGGGAATACATTCAAGTTCAGCAGTCAGGAGCCCGCCTAGAGAGCAGGGACTACATTTCAAGTTGAAGTCAGGAGCCCGCCTGGAGAGCATGCAATACATTCAAGCACAGCAGTCAGGAGCCCGCCTGGAGAACAAGGGAGTACCATTTAAGTTTTAGCTTTCAAATTCTTTGCTTTGTTTATTTCGAAGAGCCCGCCTGAAGAACAAGGAATGCATTTCAAGTCGGCAGTCAGGAGACCGCCTGCATAGCATGGGAATACATTCACGTTTTGAAGTCAGGAGCCCACCTGGATAGCATGAGAATACATATCAAGTTCAGCAGTCAAGCCCCACCGGAAGAAGGGGAAAACATCTCAGTTTACAATTCAAGGTGGAAACAAATGGATGTCACCGAGAGAATGGAGGATAACAAGGCAACAAAAAACACAAGAGCAAGTTTAAAGACATAGATAGGACTTTTGTAATCCATAGACCATAGTCTAGTCTAGCTTCTTGTTTTATTTTGACATGGTGTAATAAGGAGGTTCAGTAAGCAGTAATAACACCACCAGCAACAATGGAAGCCCAACTTCATGGTAGTCCCAACTACCAAACATTCTTGAACTACACTGACCTGATTCCTTTTAGCCAAGGATATGTAGGCAACCTCGGAAGCAAGGTGCGGTCAAACCTTTCAAAAGATGCTTCCCACGGAGTATTCAAACGGGCAAAAATCGCTCGTATCCGCTCACTTTATCTTTGCACGAAAACTCTTCGTGTTTACGAGCAAAGAGGGGTAGCTGTGAGCACGTGATTTTTGCCCTATATGAATTACTCCCATAAATTTAAAACAAAACAATTTCTTTAAGTATTTGCAATTTTGGGGATTTTCGTGGCATTTTCTGATAATTGTTTGCATTTGTCTGTGCATTTTTATTTTATTTAATTAATGAAAATTACAAAAATATATTGCATTTGCATTTAGGATTTAATATTACATTTTAGGGATTAATTGACAAATTATTTTATAAAAATAGGAAAAATCACAAAAATAGTTTATTTTGCACTTTTAATTTTTGAATTTTGGTAGTCTTTTTCCTTTAATTGGTTTTTAATTATTTGTAGTAGCAAATATTAGGGTTAATTAATTTAATGTGGTAGTATAATTTGGTTTAGGATTTAATTTAGGTTTTAGTTTTAATTTTGGAAAGAAGAAAAAGATTGTTTTTTTAAAGAAAATGAATTGGAAAAAAGGAAGGAAATAAGAGGGTTTAAATATGGGCCAAAATCAACCCAGATTTCCCCAGCCCAAACATAACCACCTAGTACCCGGCCAACCCACGCTTGACCCGGTCCGGATTCCCCCTCAAACGAAACGACGTTGTTTCGATCGGTATTGATCTGAGCCGTTGATCTCCACTTGATCGAACGGCTCGGAACTAAAGCTTTGGGAATATATATATGTCCTAACGCCCTACCCCCCCTCACTTCATCGTTCCAATAGCCCCTATTAGAGAACCCATACCTAACCCTAGTTGAGCCACCCCTAAATCCACCACCGTCCGGTGACGGCACCATCTCCAAACGCCACCAAAAAAACACCCCATGACCCCCTCACTCCCCTCTTTCTAAATCCCGGACCAATTTCCTTCGAATCTGCCCGGAGCTCTGCGAATCTTAAATCTAAGGTCAGCCCCAAAAGTTCAAAATCAGTTTTTCTGTCAATCCTGGTAGCATGCATGCTCGGGAGGTGATGTTCTATCAAGCTTTGAGGTTCGGACTAGGCGAAACAGATGTTGCTCAGTTGTTCTTGACAAAGAACAAAGGATCGACATAAGTTTGGCCTAGTTCTTTGTGCCTGCCCAATTTCGAGTCCGATCGGTGAGTTTCTATCCCTCAGCATGACCTATTGTGTTTTATTTCACCTTTCCGTCCCTCTTTTTTTCTTCTCCTTTCCTCTGTTTAAAGATTTGA